TAAAGGGATTTTCTGATTGTTCTGGAGACGTCTAGACAATAAGAGGCCCAATGAGAGCTAATATCTTCATGTTTTTTCATGTATGATTGTATGTGGCTAACACATCTGCAAATGAAATCTTTACAGTTAAATATTATGAGCGCAGCTTTTAAAAGAGATTACTCGTGACCTCAGGATGCACTGTCACACAGTTTTACGAGTGATGTTAAAGATTATGTGCTCGTTATCAGCAGACAGGAAACCAGAAGCAAAGCAGAGAAAGAAATGCGACACATCCTGTCACTGTAAAATCTTATCAACCTGTGTGTTACACCAGAGAGCTGATAAGCTTTATGAGCATGATCACATGATGTTGCCTTTCATTCCAGTCATATTTCAACAGCACTATGAATGAAAGAGAAATGCATGATGGGAAGAGCCCCACCCAGCAGTGCTTTATAACATACAAAGCTTTATTTTCTACTTAGTCACTGGGTCAAGGTCATTGAATTCAGTGAAAGCCAGTTAATTTATTTTGACATCTAAATATGTCACAAAACTTGCTTTTCTGCTTCTCACCCAGATAAAAAGTGATTATATAACTGGCTGGATACCAACAATGAGAACCTGCACAGGTGCCCGATCACATGTCGAAGATGATTTTGTTCTCTTTATTTGGAGCTGTGAACTAATTCAGTGTATCAGGTAATGCAAGAGATTCATTACATGCTATAGTAAAAGTGTGCGGTCTGTTAACATAAAACACAGTTCATGTGGTGTTGGAAAACCATTTACAGTAAAATAAACACATCTCCAAAAGTTGATTCTGTTCATCTGGACGTCTTCAGTGGGAGAAACGTTTGGTCACTCATCCAGGTGACGTCTTCAGTCTCAGCTGACTGCAGGTTTCAATCTTATAAACAGGACAAACTGAGCTTTTTGAACACAACTTTATGGATTTATTGAGCAGTTTTCTCACGAGGACCCAGTTTAGTCAGTGTACTGTTAGTGTGTGTGTGTGTTTGTGTGTGTTTATGTGGGGCGACTGTGGCTCAGGGGGTTGGGAATCGCCGGTAAGACAGATGGTGCGATATGGCAGCCTCGCCTCTGTCAGTCTGCCCCAGGGCAGCTGTGGCTGCAACCCTAGCTGCCTCCACCAGTGTATGAATGTGAGAGTGAATGAATAGTGGCATTGTAAAGCGCTTTGAGGGCTATATAAATGCAATCCATTATTGTTACTTATGTGTGTGTGGAACACTGGCGTTCAAATAAGCATCACAGTGAGTTTGTTTCCTATTTTAAAGCCAATCACAACATGAGATGCACAAACACGTCACACTGAGACAAATATTAGAATAACTGAGTTTTTCCCCATTAAAACGTCTTTAATAATGTATCCAAGCACATGTTGAGAAACTCTGAATGTCTGCCGTAGTTTCAGGTGCTCTCAGCAGTTCTGTACTGACCTTGTAGCCTTATTGTGTTACATTATTAAATTCTGTCCTGTTAACCATCCTCTCCTGTCCTCAGGGAGGAAAGCTCTCTATGCTCTTTACCTTCTGCATGGTTGGTTTTTGGATTCTTTCCCTTTTTGAACCCTGAGCAATCACGACGGGATTACATCACAACTTTAATTTAGAAAAAGACTGCTAGTATAAAGGTGAGCAGTTTTCTTTATGCACTGTGACCCTGAACCGTTCTCGTCATTGCCAGGTGTGTCTGTATGTGAGAACATAAGTGTTAGATATCAAGCAGACTTTATCCAGGGTGCACAAAGTCTATATGTTGTTTGACGATGTCCTGGTAATTGTCCAGTGAAATGACGATGGATCATTGGTTGGCATGTATCCTGTTCCTGTGTGCTCCATCCTAAACTAAACACAATATTTCAGAAGTGAGAACCTGTCGAGGACCTCCTGCTGAGTACTGCTTAGTAAGAATATGTCACCATGCCTGGATTTACAGAGTCATGTTAGCTACTAGTTATTTTTACTTTAACCTCAGGTTATTTACACCAAATAGCCTTTTCCCCCCTTTTTTGGCCATTTAATCTTATCAGCGCTAAAGAATCTGTAACTACAGTGTTACGTCCCCCCCACCATGGCGGAGGCAAAGGTAAGAAGGAGACAGCAACACTGGACAACCACAATCAATGAAGGAGGAAGACCACAGAAGAGTTAAGTATCAGGCAGGATTTATTGGTTGCTTGCCTGGATAGTCAAACTTAACAACAGAAAAGAGGTGGGGGAGGAGGACTGGGCGGTTGATCCAAATCAAAGAAATTAATAAAACAAAAAGAGGTCGATAGCTTCCAGGGCCTAACCTAATTGAAAGAAAAATGCAAAACAAAAGGCCTACCTAGCTACTCGACAAAAGGTCAGTGAAAACATACAAGAGTGGCATCGATCGCATAACCTAGTGTGACTAACAGAGTAAAATCTACAACCAGTGTACAGGGTACCCCAGCTTACCTGTCCAGCCTCCCACCACACACAATATAAAGACGCCTGTTCGCAAATGTTTGTCAAAGCAGAAGCCAGCAGCCCCAGCTGGCCAGGGAGCGGCTCATTTGTAGTGTTCTTTGGAGTGTGATTGGCCAACTGAGCCCAGACCAGCCAATAGACACCTGCCAATCAACTTTGAACTGGCCAATCAGTGGAGGCCTGACGCCTGAAAGATAAATAGAACACAAAACAGAGCACAAAAGCAAAGCCACACCCCTTGGCACGTAACAAAAGTGTAGAGATACATGAGCACAGTGGTGGTTTATAGAGGGAAATGGGAAAATGGGTGGGTGGGACTGTGTTATCGGTGCGTGTATGCGTTCAGGGTCTTTGTCTGTGGGTGTTTGTGCTGATGCCCTGTAGCGCCTCCCTGAGGAAGCAGGCTGAACAAGTTGAATAAGACCAGCCATTTTAGCAATCACCTGGTGACAGTGGGAAGGAAAAACTCCTTTTTAATAGGCAGAAACCTCCAGCAGAGCCACGCTCAGAGAGGGGAAACCATCTGTTGTGAACGGTTGTGGGTGATAAACCTCAATAAAAAAGATTCAAATATGAAAGGTCCCTTTTTTGATGTTGCCTAAAGCTTAGGAGATAGTTCCAGTTTACTATCTAACACAGCTGACAAGTTGTGTCTGCGAGGAAGCAAAAAGGTTGTGTGAGAGAAACAGTGGTTACTAGATGTAACTCAGGTTCAAGGGACGTGCCCCTTTAGCCTTCATCACTGACTGGTGTCCAGTGACTTTAGACTTTAGAGCTTTTATTGTTCGGTTTCTTGCACACTGAAATTGGGTAGCAGGACCACAAAGGTGCAAAAGTAAAGAAAACAATCTACAAAGCAAAATATATGTATCCATATATGTGAGTAAACTGTAGACATGGTGTATGAAACACTGAAACAGAAACGTTGTTGGGCTGTATACAAGGGCAGTTATATAATATATTAAATAAATGAATAATGGTGAAGGAGCTATGGTGGATGGTAATTCACTGAGAACAAAATATTGCACCGAACAAGGAAAGACTGAGATATAGCACATAGCAGTTGATCAATAACAGCGTCAGAGTGGTTGTATGGGAGAAGTGTGCTCACACAGAGGTCTGACAGCTCACAGGAAGAAGCTGATCTTTAGTCTGCTGGTTTGCACCTGATGGATCTGAACCTTATCCAGAGGGCAGGATGTTGAATAGATGATGGTGTTCATCACCAACCCTTTACTCCACCCTTGAATATCAGCATGCAAAAGCCCTCGAGATGACTGGAACATATAATGTTTGCTTTGGTTACCATTTTAGTTTAGCATTAGCATTAGCACTACAGGTGTCAGGTATGTCAAAGGTAAAATCACCCAGGCAACAAATCAAATCACTTTTATTGTCACATCACATGTGCAGGTACATTGGTACAGCACATGTGAGTGAAATTCTTGTGTGCGAGCTTCACAAGCAACAGAGTTGTGCAAAATACAATAATGTAAACAAGCAAAATACAAGAATGGCTACATCTGAAACTAATAAATATATGTACAATATATAATAGTATATGCATTTCTGGATGTGTATACTAAATGTTTTTCTACGTGTGTGTGTGTGTGTGTGTGTGTGTACACATATTTTACAAATTAAATAGAGTAAACAATAAATAAAATATATAAAATATACAGAGTTGAATATGTGCAAAACAGTGGCATTACTGTACAGTATGGAGTGCATAATGTTAAAGTTCCAGCAGTGAAGCTGAGGTGTCTATGACGTGTTCAGCAGTCTGATGGCCTGGTGGAAGAAGCTGTCTCTCAGTCTGCTGGTTCGGGACCGGATGCTGCAGAACCTCCTTCCTGATGGAAGCAGTCTTTTAGGAACGCAACCCCTGATCTGTGAACACCAAATAAGAGAGAATTC